TGTCAAGCCAGTGCAAAGAGCCATAAACAAATGCTGGCCTCCAACTGTCCAGTCTAAGTCCATCATTAGCACAATCTCTCTTTGATTTTCAGTGAACCCAAATCCAGACCCTCAGGCTGAATTACAGCAGATTTATGTCAAGTCAATCTGCGATAATGACCGTAATCCTCCCTAATACCATCATAATGAGGCCATTACTTGAGTTAATCTACTAAATAAATTCTTTATTGGGAATTTTACCACATAAATAAATGTATAAAAATAAATAAATATATATATATATTATGTCAAAGTACAGTATCATAAATAATTACATTATCTTAAAAAATATATTATTTCAAAGTACAGCATTACATAAATAAAATGTTATATTGCTATTATATTATATTATATTATTAAATACGGCATGTAATTGTGATTTTTATGCCATACCAAATAGAGATTATCTTTAATAATAATAATAATTCCTTACATTTATATTGCGCTTTTCTGGGCACTCAAAGCGCTTAAGGGATCTTCATATTTAATATCTTTATATTTAAATCAAGGATTGGCAGCCTTAAGTGCCACTTTTAATAATTTTAAAGAAATCTATCTATCTATCTATCTATCTATCGATCTATCTATCGATCTATCTATCTAGTATGCTTACTGTTTAACATTTTTTTTATTACCACAAACAAAACGATCCCCATTGCTATCCCTCAAAATCTATCAACCAAATATTTAACATTTGTCTCTCATATTTCTACAACCATTCTGCTGAATCTGCAGACCACAGAAGGTTTAAACATGCCTGCAGATGAAGAGGAATTGTTTTATGGCCGCACGTTCCTTGTGGAAAAAGTTTCATGTGAACGGCCCTGCAGTCCTGCTCTCCATTTGGCAACTGGACTCTGTTTTTCTGAACAAAAAGGGCCAACCACTGCCTTGTGTAACGGCAAACTTTGCTGTCCTCTGCTGTTCTACTTTCTCTTCGGGCTCAGCTCTCTCCCTGACTTCACCCCGCTGTCTAGCGTAAATAAACTTCAGCCCAAAAGGGGCTCCGCCTGCGTCTGAAACTCCCTGAGTCACAGCAGCAGACTCTCAGGTTGCGGAGCGCTCACAGCGGCCCCTGTGTCGTGTGAGGGTTATGGCAGACAGAACGGCATACATAGAATTAAGGAATCAACACGCCAACATAATCACTAGGCTTTTAAACGCAAAAGAGCATGCTCTGCAGAAAACTTGGCTTCAGCGGTACAGTGGCTTGCTCCTCAGTGAACATATTGTTAGTGCAGGAAAAATAGACGACTTCCAAGAATCTACTCGTGCTTCCGACTGTTTCCTCTGTATGCACTGATAGCTCTGAAGTCTTCGGCACTTCTGTTTGCTTATTTATTTATTTAGAGGGCAATCCCCTTAAAACAACCTGGCCTTGGTCATTGTAGTACATCAGGATTGTGTTAAGATCCAAGCTTGTTGGGACTGCAGCACATATTGTGATTATTGTAATCTGAAGGGCTCATTGATTTTTCAATGTTAGGTTTACCGATAAATAGCACAAACAGAAGGGAAGACAAATGGTAAAGTAATTTATTTATTATTGTGTTGTATTTTTTGCATTAATTACCCAAAATGAGTAACAACCATTTATTCAGTACATAATGCTTTAAACTTTACAGTTAGACAATAAAATTAAGACAAAAACAAATTTGCAACTATTTTGCATAAATATAATATATACGTAACCATTATTATAGTTTTTAAATTATTATTCATATTAATAGTAGCAATATAATGTTAATATATTCATAATGCATTTTGTTTTAATCATCTAATTATTACTTTTATTGTCAAAATGCAGAAATATAATAATGATAATAATAATTCTTATTTTTATATATTCATTAATAATTATAATAATAATAATAATTACATGTTATTTTAATTACTATTAATAATAATAATAATGACATTATTATCATCATCATTCATATTACAATAAATATTATTATTATTATTATTAAACATATGTTCTGGGTAGTGCTGAACATGTATATGCTAATATTTTTGAAAATGTAGTAAACACTTAACTCTCTTTAAAGTGCTGTCAAAACATCAGGCATTTGATAATTCCACAGCTCTGCAAGATCTCTTAAGAATTAAATAGAGAATAAAAAGCTACTAAACTCAATAACACCTTGCGTCCTCAAGGTCCTCTTATCCAAGAATTTAGCAGCACATCTAAATATTGTAACCACATGACACAATCATTAAGTGATATCAAATCTATCAACAGTCATCAGTAATTTTTGAAGCACAACAAATCTGCATGTTGTTAATGGTTGAAATTTGCAGCCTTATCTCATTACACTTCTATCATGAAGGCCCATATGCTTGGCCCAGAGTGAGTTGAAATATAAATAAGCGAGCTGATCAACGCACATCTGATTTATTAGAGACACATTAGCATACACGCATGACTTTGACAGCACAGCCCTGAAGCGCTGCCACTTCATTCTCTCCTCCATAAGACACCGTCATGTCTTTGAAATTCCAGCCAAAACTGAAGAGTCATGCTTGCCAGATCTCCCTCACAAAAAAGTCCACAAATATGGCTCCTGTCCGAAGCCATAACTCAAGACGATTACTTCTGTTCTCAATCAAACTGCAGCCTGTCCTCAGAACACCTCTGAAGAGACTTTAGTCAGGGCAGACAGCATGAAAAAAGACAGACGGACAGCCTGTTCAATAGGGTTTCCAGATTTTTGTTCCAAGGAATTTGTTTTTATGCAAAAACATATTTTAATGCCGTGTCATCTGAACAATTGACACCCAGAAACACAACGGCACCACCCATCAAACACTCAATTGTGGAAAATATCCTAGGCAAATGATCTATTTTATGAAGCATAGCTAGAGCATTTTCCTTAACATGCGACGTCTGCTGCTTAGTAAACTCATGCACATTATGATCTCATATGGCGTTTAAAAACTCTATTAATCGACTTGGACAATGCACTCTCTTGGCAATTCGTAACTAATAGTGGTGAATTTATACGTTTTCATACAATCTGCTTACGCCCTACTGTAGACCTTCATGCTTAGTTTTTTTTTTCTAAAAAATCTAATTTATACAAATTCACCAAAACATAAAATAGTTGCGTTTTCTCATGAGACTGGGTTGGCTCGGGCAGGACATGTTTTACAAGGCAACATGCTGGAATAATTCAAAAAGATTTTTGCACATAGTCTGATGAAAATAAATACCTTTTATGTCATAATAAGTTCTAGCAAATCTTTGTTGGAACCTCTTGGCATTATGGCATGAATTAATAGCCCTTTCATTAGTTTAAAATATTATAAAAATGATAAAATGACACCATGGACTTGTTCTCCACATCACACTTTTCCAAAAAACCATGCACTCCAAAGGCAATAAGGCAATATTTTCATCCATAGCAGTTAAATAACAGCTTAATAAACATTAAAAGAGTATATATTTAAACATAAAAGCAAACTTTAATCAAAGTGCTAAAGTCTGCGCTCCAACTTGTGTGCAGCTACTGGGTCATTAACCCAAGTCATTCACTGCATCTGTGAAAGCCTATTACACAAATGTTATACACCATAACATATCACTGTCTCCGTCTCAATGATAAGCTAGGTGCAGTGATGACATCCCATTTAATTCATCATCCCATAAGCGCCACTGTATCCTGTCCCTGGACTTTGGATGACCACAATGTGTTTACTTTCAAACAAAACCTATCTATTGAAGGATTGTTTGACTAGACCAAAGTAAAATGTTCTGTGTGCTCAAAGGTGAATAATCTTGACACAGGCCCAATGATTTTCCAATAATGACCTGGCACAGACATCTACAGTTTAATTCCGTGATTGATGAAAGCCCTTTGTAAATTGTCATTTTTAACATACTTACACATACATTTGCTACAATTACTTTAAAATAAATTAACAAATAAATAAATGTCCATATATTCAAGTATTTATAATTTTTTTTTTTTTATATTCTTAAATAAATAAACAAACTGATTAATATAATATCATTAATAACTACTTATTAGATTTTAAAATGACACTCTCTATTAATTTTATTATTTATTCATTATTTGTTCATTTTATTATTAAATTAATAATTTACAACAAAAATTATGCAAATTAACAATCCATGTCCCCTAACCCATCTGTAATTTCTGCTGTATGTACAGCTGACCAAGTAGCCAAATGCATCCATCTGATGTACAGTATATTTACATAAGCAAACAATTAAAAAATAGGGCAGACTAAATGCATAAACCACCTATAGTACAGTTGCCTCATTCCACCTTGGATAGACTGTAGGGCTCCACCATATTTCGAAATAAAATCAATATCACAATATGGCTTTGTGCGACTGTCAAATGGCCCTGGCAGCGACTTAATTAAATAATATAATTTATGCATTTTCCAGCATGCCATTACACATGTGTTGCTCATGATACAGTGTTCAGTATCTGAGAATGGCTTGGTTCATTTACTACGTTTTATTTTACAGTATTATTACAATATATTTCTTATTTTGTTTACTATTTTTTATTTAATAATAATCACAACAATCTCAATTTTAACCAACAACCACAATAAAACCATCACAATTATTATTTAATAGTGGGAATGTGGCCTATGAAAGCTCAAGTGGAATGTGACTTTTTTTAAACTCTGGAATGGTTACTGAAAGAGATTTGAGGTGGTGCTTATAAAAAGTAAACCCAAGTAAAAACGCACCATTCGGTAAAATTTTTCCCAAAACTTTCTGATTCATTCTTCCCATATACAGCTATTCAATCATCTGATGAAAATTCCTGTATTCATTCATATCGGAATATAATGCAGAAATACAAAATATCACAAAGTTTTTTTTCCCCAGTATCGTGACTGACCAACTTGATTTCAAATCGGACTGCTGTGGCAATGTAAAACAACGAATGTTTCTGATGTGGTTGTGAGTGCAGTACCTGGAGTGAACAGCTCGGATCTTGCAGACACCAGTCCGTTTCCACACAGCAAGCCCAGGTAGAGCAGACCGAGCGAGAGAGAGTAAGCCATAGCTTCTGCTGTCTCCCTGAGCGACGGAAAAAGAAAAATCATTATCAGTGGTGCTCCCGGATAACACCCCTCTGACAAATACTGAGCTGAAACCCCCCGAGAGCCCAATGGCCATTGCCATCTCCACAGCTTCTCCAATTAATTTCCTTACTCCTTCACGCCAAAGCGAGTTGGCTGTTACTGCCGTTAATTCTTAGCTGGTCTGTGCGAAACCCTATATGAGGACACCAGACAATTAACAACCAGACACAGCCTCTGAGCCCTGCAACGCTCAGCACTTCCAGCCATACGTGGGCTTGTCATTATCTGTAGGTGACCAGGGGTCTTTTAAGCATGCAGACAGTGCGGAGGATGATTTCACAAGCTAATACTCTGCATTTACTGTGTTAAACTAGAGTTTCCATTATAAAATTATGCTAGGCCGACGGAAAACCTTTCAAAATGTCAAACGTTCATGCTATCTCAGCTATAGGTCCTGGTGAAACATCATCTCACACGGAATGAAGCATAAAGAATTTAAACTGGCTTCGACTTGTATATTAATGGTGGATGTGTGACAGAAATACTGTTGACAAGTTGCCATCGTTCATACGGTGATTTATGTATGTGGGGGCGCTTCGTGATTTACTCGTTGTGCTTGGTTGAGTCTGTCGATGACCCTTCTCTATTCCCTCGCCACTTTTGGGTCTTATTACAATAATATTCCATAGAAGAGATAATGGTTTGTCTGAAATGGCGATGATATTGTGACATAGTGAGAAATAACTGTCACAAGCAAGTAGTCTGAACAGGCTGTATCCAGCTAGCCGAAGAGTTAGGCTAAAAATAAGTACACTATTTTTGTTTGGTCACCAGCGCAAATCATAGAGAGGTCAGTGGCGCTTTGGGACAGATGAGTCTGATCTCAACAGTCCAACTAAGCCTGGAGATTTATATAGACAGCCTGATAGAAACGAAAAACACTACTGATATTCTTTAAATGTGCGTCAAATATATGACATCAAATAAAATCTTAAGTGGACAATTAATAAATACAATCGGCCAATAAACGTTGTTTAGACTGGCCTCGTCCTGATGCGTTTCTGGATCTGGTTCGATTAATGAGGAGTTCTGGCCCAAAACTTGGCTTCAAAGCTATTTTTCTTCTGCACTTGGCAGTGGATTGTTGAAAACAGCACCAGGCTATAATTTCCAAATGTGGGAAAATACACAGTCAGCAAATAACTGGCTTTGTTGCATCTGACCTGTAGCTTCACCTCATCTCAACATCTAACAATGCTAGAATAACAACATGCAGGTTTCATAACCCTGTCTTTTTGCATTGTGATACTTACATTGTAAAATACTTTGGTATTTTGTATTTACATTCACAAAAGCTAGCTAAAAAAATGTATGATTTACTATAGTCAAATATTTTATGAAATTATATTGTAGATATGTTCTTGTGTCCTTGTGATTTGGTCTCAAGTCTGACAGAGTCAACAAACACGCCTCAAACTCGCCTTGATCGTCTCTATTCTTCTCAAGGAGATGGCCCTTCTCAGTCAGGTAGTGGAGAGGCCCCAGTCCTCAAAGGAATGCTGCTATCATACAGCAAGAGAGTGTAAAATGCATTACACACCCATATTGACAGGTCCAATGCTTATTAGCAGGTCTATGAGACTGTATTGCTTTTAGTAAAGTATAATTAAGTACTATTATTGATAGGATAAAATAGTAAAACAGTGCTATTTTAGCCTAGAATCAAGAGGACTGTTTGGAAATGTTTGAAAGGCTGCATTTATTTGATCAAAAAAACAGTAAAAACTGTAATATTAAGAAATATTATTTCAATATACTTTAAAATGTAATTTATTTCTGTGATGGTCATTACTCCAGACTTCAGTGTCACATGATCCTTCAGAAATCAATCTAATATGCTGATAAGGTGCTCAAAAAAAAAAAAAAAGTATCTTAATATTTTTGTGGAATCTGTGACACATTTTCTTCAGGATTCTTTGATGAATAAAAATTCAAAAGAACAGCATTTATATGAAATAGAAACCTTTTCTAACATTTTCGATTTCTTTACTGTCAAATTTGATTAATTTAAAAAAAATTGCACTGACTACAAATCGAACATTATATATTATATTAATTATATTATATTATACAGGTAATTTTATGAGGCATAGACAAGTGCTCTGCTGTCCCTATTTTGAGTTTGTAGTCACATTTCCACCATGTGGAGTGTTTGGAGATACTGGGAGGGCCAGTAGGGTCCGACCTCACGAGGGAGTTAAAGGGGCACGGCAGTCTACACAGAGGGCCTGATTGTCCAGACAGCCATGAAAGGGAGGAGGGGAGGAACCTCCCTTGAATCTGATTGGCGGAAAGAATTTCCCGCTTCGAGTTCTTCACGGATTGCTCAGCACTGCATGCATATTAGGCAATGCTTCTCACCCTTTAACCTTCAAAATTTATCTGCTATTGATAACACAGCCCATCTACGGACAACATTTACATTTTTGCCATTTGAGGGCCATGACTTTGAAACCAAAGTTACTGCAATGTTTCTCTTTTAAATCCCTCATAAACATGCGAACCTGTTGTATTTAGTGATGAACATTATGGGAATCCAAACACTTTTTTGTAACGCAGACATTTCCATATATATTTCTGGGCAGCAGGTTGAGCAAATAAACAGGTCTGTTTTACGTCAGTCGCAATGTGTGGTTGAGCGGATGACAGCCCACAGCTTGTTCAGATTTAATTGTTGCTTAAAGCATTTAGAGCAAAACTTGATATAAATAAAAAAAATATTGCTATCAGTGTGGGTTTCAACCAGTAAAAAAAACAGGTTTCAACCAAAACTATATAATTAAGGGAAATGATGCACCATTAACTCTCTCAGTGCAAGACAACTCAAACAAATACAGAGATAGATAGATAGATAGATAGATAGATTTCTTTAAAATAGTTAAAAGTGGCACTTAAGGCTGCCAATCCTTGATTTAAACAAAGATATCCTGTATTTGGTATGGCATAAAAAAATCACAATTACATGCCATATTTAATAATATAATATAATATAATATAATATAATATAATATAATATAATATAATATATAATCAAAGTTCACTGTCTGTCAGAATTTTACTTATTTGCTGCCACAACTCTAATAAAAGGATCTGGTGCTGGCATGCATTTCTGCTGGCTGACCTTTTGTGTGGAAGAAAGGTCAGAAATCACCATTTTCACATCTTCACTTCATTTAGTTCATATTTGCAAACACAAAACTTCTGAACGCTGACTGTTGTAGCTTCCCTAAATGAACTACTAAGTTATCAGGTCCAGAACTCAGGCTAACAAGCAAGAGAGTATCATTCCTGTTGGGCGTGCATCCAAGACTAAATTAATAACATCCAAAATTAGCAGTGAGTGAGTAATACATGCAGAGTTCACCATTTGAAACCTGTTAATCTCTGCTATATAATAAAACGTCCAGAGTCACTGAGTCATACTCTGTTATGATGGTGTACTCCAAACAGGAAGTAATACTAAATCTGTGTGCGGTGATGTGCTTGGTCGTAAACTGCTCTTAATGGCACCTATTTAGCAACTTTATTTCAGCACTCAGACAATCAAGCAGAGATTAAATCTGAATAACTGAATCTATGTGCATTAAGACTAAAACCACTGTGCCTTTTTCCAGTTCTCCTGAGCTCAATCCTGCTGTCAGCACATCTCTGATGTAAAACAAACATGTGGGCATCACCTTTAGGAAACTGTGCTGAAACTACCGATGATATCAGTCCATTACCATGAATGTTGGGGTAACATGTTACACAAATAAATTTATTTGTTCAAGTAACGTACCATGTTACTTATCAAATTTACACAGTATTATCCAAGTCGCTTAAAAAGTACAAAAGTAGGACACATTTCAGGTCCATTTACTTTATTTAGTGGCAAATATAAATAGAAAAACACTCCCTTCCCATAAGAGTAAATTAAACAAAGATTATTGGAGTATGTTTTACAAGTAGTGCTGTCAAACGATTAATCGCGATTAATCGCATCCAAAATAAAAGCTTTTGTTTACATAATATATGAGTGTGTACTGTGTATATTTACTATGTATATATAAATACAAACACATGCATGTATATATTTAAGAAAAATATGTTACGTTTATATATTAAATATATTTATATATAAAATAAAATATAATAATATAAATATATAAATGTATATATATATATGTAAATATTTTCAACATACTGTATGTGTGTATATTTATATATACATAATAAACAAACACAGTACACATACATATATTATGAAAACAAAAACGTTTATTTTGGATGCGATTAATCGCGATTAATCGTTTGACAGCACTATTTACAAGACAACACTATTTCAGTCTTTCTGCATCAAAATTTTGTTTAAAAGTTTTTGTAAAATGTATGTGCAAAAGACATCAGCATCGGTCAACCCCTACTTGCAGTATGACACATACAATACTGTGGTTAACCCAATTTTTGCATGCAAAATGTGTTTAGAGGATAAAAACTTTTCATAAAAGCAAAATAACACTTCTAATGTAAAATAAAAATGCCTAAACAACTTTTTATTGTAGAAGAGAGTCTTAGTCAGCAGATAGTGTAGCAATATGAATAACTTTTTATGAGTAATGCAATCCCGCAATGCATTTCTTTTAAAAGTAACACTGTATCTCCTATTTAAGCCCAATAAATTACACTAAATCATACACATCTAGTTCTACCGCTTTTTTGAATCAACTTTGTCAATGGTTTGGTCGTTCTTTAAAGAGATAGTTCACCCCAAAAAATGAAAATTCTGTCATCATTTACTCACCCTCAATTTGTTCCAAACCTGTATGAGTTTCTTTCGTCTGTTGAACATAAAAGAAGATATTTTGAAGAATGTAACGTGTATGGACAAAAATTATGGAAGTCAATAGGGTCCAGTAACTGTTTGGTTACATTCTTCAAAATATCTACTTTTATATT